TTTAATAAATAATAATAAAAATAAATAAAAATAAAATATCTATCAAAGATCATCCTAAGTCCAATTAAGCCTTTTTTTTTTATAGATCTATGCCAATCCGTCGCAAAAAGATTTCCAAGCAGACGAAAGCCCGTCGGCATTCCTATAGTTGATACACTGCGTGCTCTTCTGCGCCCTGTGGATTTCCATCTTTTTGAGATATTTTACTGCGTGTCTAGATCTGGTAGCTTTTATTATAGAGGCCTGGTCCCAGAAAACAATAATGCCTTGTTGTTTAGCATTAGTGGCAAGGACCATACTGTCAACAGTTTTGTTCACCGAAAGCTTATGTTCATTGATTCTTTTTTTCAAATTCCTCAAAGTTGTGCCTATATATACTAAGTTAGAGTTGAACCTATGGTCTCTTAGCGGTATTGAGTATATTCCTGTTAAGGAGTTAGGTTCATAATGCCCCTTATCGTTTCTTAATATCCTGTATATAGTGGGATTACGTCGATAAACTATTTGTAAGTTCTTATTTTTGGAAACCCTCTTGACAATCGGTTTAAGGAGGGGTATATAATCGAGGACCACTTTTTCTTTTGGTGGTTTTGCTTTTGCCTACTTGCCAGAATATTATCCTTCTTAATGAGAGCCTCTATTCTTTTCCTCCCATAGCCATGCTGTATGGCAGTTCTTTGTACATATTGTAATTCCTTAACTGTATCACAAATGTTTGTGCAATGCGTGTGTGCTCTTCTTATCCAAGATCGAAATACCGCCATTTTAATATGCTCTGGATCCGCCGAATTCTTAGGGATAATGATGGGGATAGATGTCGGTTTACGATAAATGTTGGTCCGGACCAACATTTATCATAAACCGACATCTATCCCCATCATTATCCCTAAGAATAATAATATCTATAAAAATCTTTATATCTGTGTGCTGTACAGTGAGATACAGCACACAGAAGGGCTCAAAAAGGTTTGCCATCCCTGCCGCAGGGGAATACATAACACACGCACACACCATCTCTCTCTTATTCCAATTTGCTTGTGTCTGTTGCCAAATTTGTGTCATGTTTTCCTTCATAAACATATTTAATACGGCATCCCATATTAATATAATAACTTGGTTTCTTATAAACAGGATGCTTAGTGAACAAAATCATTAGCTTTTAGTATTGAAAAAAAACCTTAAAATATCAAAATGCTTTGAAAGACTACACAGATTTTGAGAGTTCTGTACTTAACTCCACTTTACACATATTTTTCTTATTATTTTTTTAATTGCATAAAATTATATAATGTTGACAAAATTTTTAAAAATACATGTTACACCATGATACAGAAGAAATTCCTATATATCAACACAATGATTTACTATCTAATATGTTAAAGAGAGAATATTGGAGAAGAGAATAGAAGGAAGATGTAAAATGAACAATGTAAGAAATTTTAAAATTTATATGAGACTTAAAAATTACAAAGGAAATAAATGCACAAGGTATTGGCATTTAAAATATAAAAATATTAATTAGAAAAAAATAAAAAGCTATTACTGTCAAATAACATAATTAATATACCCTATTTACTTGCATATAAGATGAAGTTTTTATTCATTTATCACAGCTTCAAATTCCTAGGTTGTCCTATACGCACAAGCAAAAGATTCTTTGCATTTTTGCAAATAATTTTTGTGAACCGTCTATTTGCACTTTTTACCAGATGCTTATCCTCTTGTATTTAACATAGAAAAAATAAGTATAATTTGAATCGTTCTTGTATATTGTCAGGAGTAAAGATGAACAGCAATAGAAAAAGCAAAGGTTTTGAATTGAATTCCAGATTGATATTCCAAAATTACACGAGATCCCTACATAAGTTTTAATCCATTCCCACATGAAAAAAAAATGATTATTCAGAAAACAGAAATCAGAGAAACTCGTAAGTGTAATCAACTGAGAGTGGATTCAACCTGTGAGAATTGGCAAAAAAAAAAAAACTTTCTAATTGTCCAGCTTTAAATCAACAAATTATGTTGTTGATTTTACAGGATTTTTCCTTAAAGTTTAAAATGCCAGTAATTTTTGCGAGTCATTCTGTGCATTTAAGTTCATTTGATATTTTACTTGTGATTAAATGAAATAAAATTAGAATTGTATTAATAAATCTAATTTACTTTATTTTGATCTTTAAAGTCACACCTCATCCTATATGCAAGGTCGTCTTATATGTGAGTGAATATAGTAGTTTAAGTTTTTTAAATATATTTAAAATTTATCCAAAATAATAACATTATTCTTAATTACATTTAATACAAAATAATAATAATAACATTCTATACATTTTTCTTCATTGTGCAGTTAGAAATTGAATCTTTCTTTGTCATGACCTTAGTCGTAATAAATATTTTGTTATTAATGATGACCATCATAAAAATACTTGTTAGAATATTCATTGTTTATTAAAAGAAAAATAGGTCATGAAACTTTTATTAATAAAGAATCTACAAATCATTAAATTGCATAATTTGTATAAATAATTTAAAATCAAGCATCAGATTTAGAAGTTTCAAGTTGATTTTTAAAGTATTTTAATAAATATAATTTCTTATATATTAATACAAATTAAATAACAAGAGAAGATATTCAAAAGAGTAAAATCAAAGAAAACATTTATTAGAAACTTAAATAGTACAATAAATAAATTTATAACAATTTAAATTGTCCAATTCTATGTAACAGAATAGAATATTTCATCATATTTAAACAATTTCCAGAGAAATTAAATGGTGTTATTCATACCCATTCTAAATTTGATCAAGCTCATAATAGAAGTGGCTGTATAATGAAGAATGTGACTGCATATGTCTAATCATAAAACTTTCTGAGAGTTGACTGAAATCTGGATTTCTCAGATTGGCAGGTTAATAGAGTTGATAAAAACATGTAACCATTTACAGACAGTATATTATAATAATAATAATATATGAAACGACACAACATATAAAAAAATATAGACACCATTAAACAATCGTGGGCTCAAAAGGAACTCCATGGCAGGCATCCCTATAACCTGGCCCAGGATTTTGACAAAACTGTGTCAAACAGCTAGTTAGCTTGGGGATGCCTCTTTGGGGAGACGGAAGGATTCATGATTGCCATACAGGATCAGGTCATAAATACTAAAAACTATAGAAAACACATACTCAGAGATACAACACTCACAAATGACACATACAGAATATGTCACATAATGCCAGAAACTATACAACACATCACTTCCGGTTGCAAGCTCTTGGCACAGACAGATTATTTACATAGACATAATCAAGTAGCAAATATAAAACATCAAGAGCTTGCAAAGAAACACAAATTAGTAGACATCCACAAATCATACTAAAAATACATTTCACAGACAGAATTGGAAAACAACATGCACAAAATGTACAACAACAGAGCCATAATCACATATAACAATTTATCACAACAGACCAGATATCCCACTCATTGACAAACACAATAAAATCACATACATTATAGATATATCCATTCCAAACACTCACAATATACAAAACACATGACCTGAAAAAAAAAACAAGTACACCAAATTCCCCATGAAATAAGGCATATGTGAAGAATGGATAGGGTGCTTATTGTACAGTAAGACCCTGCTTAGTGCAGAGGATGCATTCCTAGATGACAAAGTGCTAAACAAAACAGCATTAAACAAAGTCATTTTAACATAGAAGTAAATAGGGATAGGGGAACATGCAACCAAAAATAAACAAATTTTACTTTAATTTTAACTTATTCTTATATTAATTTGTATAATAATATATGTTAAATAACACATAAACATATACACACACAAATGTAAAAGTTCATTTTTTGTGATGAAAGTCCTGACTTTTCTGAAATTTCCATTTTTTTGCAATAAAGCCATGAAGTTTCCTCAAGACATTTGCTCAAGGAAAAAAAAGCATGGCTTTTTTTTCCTTGAGCAAATGTCAGTAGCAGAAGATCGCATCCAAAACAACTCGTTTTGCTTTTACACTCCTTTCAAAATCTGCATCATTTGCTACAATTTGATCAACGATTTCAGTTATTGTTACCAAACTTTTACTAAGGAAATCTGTAGAGAAATTTATTGGGTTCTTCATTTTCAGAATCNACACACACAAATGTAAAAGTTCATTTTTTGTGATGAAAGTCCTGACTTTTCTGAAATTTCCATTTTTTTGCAATAAAGCCATGAAGTTTCCTCAAGACATTTGCTCAA